AAATCAAGTGATTCTACACCGCATATGAAACAATGAGATTAAATAGAATATAAGCCAATAAGATATAAAATATAGTGTGATTACTGAGATTAAAAGTGATGATTTGATGAGTTTTTATAACCAATTTATGAGTAGTGCTCCGAACTGATTAGCTAGAATACCTAACCTGAACCTGGATCATTTGAGCTAGGCTGTTTATGAGTATCACTTTGTTATCACCTAATTTTGCATGAAATTTTGGCCTGCATTATGCTAATGCAGGGTGGCTTGGTCAGTTATTAAATCACCATTTGTCTGTTTCGCCACCTTTCATTAGTTTCGTCACCTTTCGCCAGTTTCGCCACCTTTTGCCAGTTTCGCCAGTTTCGCCATTTCGCCATTTTAAAATTTTTTTGGCAAAAGTCGAAACTAGGTTTCGCCTTTCGCCAATGGCGAAACCTCTAGGTTTCGCCTAACAACTATACGACCGACCGACCCAATTTTTTGATTCCATGTAATGCAAAACGAAAAATCAACTTTGCGTGGCCTTATAATTGGCTTTTTCTCGTTTTAGTGGACTTTTTATATGGTTCTCTGTAAAAAATTACCGGGACACTGAATATCTAATAACAATGCTTGCTTTTAGTCTTGGCAATATAATAATGCTATTCACCTTTGTATATGATACAGATGCTAAGATGCAAATTTTAGATCCGGGCGTTAATTGGATAAAAATTTACTTAATATTGCTACGTAAAGTTAATGCAGATCAGTCCTATTTTTTTTTATTTTTTTTTTTTTTATTTGTTCTTAAAGACTACACAAAACTACTTGCATTTATGGAAAAGATTAAAATTTTATTTTATTAAAAATTAAACAACTTTTCTTTTCAAAATATTAGTATTTTTACTATTGTTATTCTGTTATATACGTATATATAACATATAATGCCGAGTAGAACTTTTGGAAAGCTAATTACAAAATATATCTTAATTCTGATATTTCTGTATCTTGTTTCTCAATATCATCTTTATCAACATATTTTCGCATCTTTCCGTTGGTTTTTTAGATCCATTTTTTTTATTTTCATAAATAAGTATATACCTCATAATTAATGTAAAGATTATCGCCAAAAGCATTGCTGATGCATTAATCATATGTGCTTTGACTTTGGTGATTATTTGATAATAAGGATTTATATAAGAAAAAAAGATTCATTGTTAACTATTAAATTTGATTTACATGTAATAAATTACTTACAATATTTGGGCCCATCACTGGTTTGATATAGCATTGACGCGAAAATTCCTGAAAAAAAAAAAAAATAATAATTAGAATAAATAATTCAGTACAGTCGATACTGTCTAAATGCATACTGTCTAAATGCATATACTGCTTAACTGCATACAATATATATTTCCCATTCTTGTTACTAATTATAAATGCATAAATTGTCTATTTGCATAATGCATAGAAAAAATCTATAGGTAATTAAGCCTAATTGCAAATCTATTTTACTAAATATCTGCTTTCCGCATTTTTATTAGCTACTTTTAGTCATATGACTCATTAGTATAACACAAAGCAAAACGCGCATATCTGAATTATCTAAACATGACACTTTGTCAAATTAAGCTAAATTCAAATATTTTGATTTCCAGATTTAAATTTTAGTAACCAAATTACATATTAATCAGTAAATGCCAAACATGATACGTAGCATATTTAATCTATTTTTCCCGCCATCTAGCCTATTTTATCGCAATTTAATAGAATAGAAATTTACTCAGAATGTTAACCAGCATAGTTAACATCAGTATCATATACAGTATTAATAAGGTGTTTTATACAGTAATAGAATAGGTGCAATATTTAATATATTTTATTTATAACTTCTTTAATACATGGAGGCCAGGTAATGGCAAAAGTTTTTATACAGTAAATAAATGAGTTATATCACAATGAATAATATCATAAATTAATTGAAAGTCAAATGCAATATAAGATAATATAGTAATTTTAATTTTTTTTCTACATTTTATTTGTGCAATAGTGTAAAGGTTCTGATATAAAGATCCTATTTGTGCATATTATATAAATGATTAAAAATAATTCTTTTATTTGTATGTATTGAATGAACGATTAAAAAAACAAGAACCTATTTATTATGTTATGTTTATTTCGGCCTATATTTACTAATATAAAAATAAAAAATAATCAGCAATAAAAAAACAAACCTGTAAAAGCAATTAATTAACTAAAACTCTTATCTAATATTCTACTTGTATAAAGCTATCTAATGTCGCTTGAACCTTTGAGAAGGAAACTTGAAGCCAAATATCTTATTGCAATAAATGCAATGTTCTAAGTACAGCATTGTGGTCAAAAATAGTTGTATCAAGAAGACTAATCACAGTACGTATAGCATCAAATTTAACAGAATTTGAAAGTATAGTAAAAGAAGAATTATTGTTATTTATACTATCAGCATCATCATCAGTTTCTGGAATTGTTAATGCTAATAAGTCAGTATCTGTAAATTCTTGATGTACTAAATCTATCTCTTCTGGTAGGTTTGTATAATGAGCAAGGCTCATAGGATGGCAAGGAGATAACATTTTGAGTGATTCTTCCAACTCTGCGAGAACAGATAAATCTTTATCATTTGGGTGAACTTCATGAGTAGAGGTAGTTATTTCATAATCAAACAAGCCAGTATGATGAAAACAGTTTGTGATAGTTTCTGAAGAAATTGAATACTAAGCTCAAACACACCATTGTATTGCTATAAGTTGGTCAACTTTATAGATATCAGATTCCTCAGCCTCATCATAGTCAATAGTATGTTGTAATAGAAAATGACAATATCAGTGTTTGAAGGCAGCAATAATACCTGCATCCATTGGTTGAAGCTTGGAGGTAGTTCTTGGAGGTAAAGTGACAACCTTTATATTAGTAAGTTCTATATCATTAACTGCATGCAAAGTGGTGCCATCAATAAGAAGGAGAATATGTCAATTTATATCTTGTATCATCTAATTAAAGTTTACAATCCATTTTCTAAAAAGAAGACCAGTCATCCAGGCTTTCTTGTTATAATGGTAATAAAAGCTAAGCTGCTCTCCAGTTTTGCTTTTAAATAATCTTGGTTTCTTTGAATGACCAATTATAAAGGGGTTTAACATATGTGAACTATCTGAATTAGTGGTAAGAGCAAGGGTGAGATATGTTTTGTCTTTTTTGCTATCTTCAATTTGTCTTCTAGCGATTGTTTTGTCTGGTGCTATTCTGTAAAACAGACTAGTTTCATCCATATTATAAACATCTCTCACAGCATATTGTTTAATAGTTTCATATAGTTTAGGCAAACTTCTTTCAATTACTTTATTATCAGCAGATCTGCTTTCTCCATGAATTTTATACATTTTAAAACTATAACATTGCTCAAATGAGAGCAGCCAACTAACAGAAAAGTCAGTATTTTATGATTTTGGGGTTAAGACCAAGTTGTTCAGCAAATTTTTGTCCTTTCTCATATATTAACTCCTTAGTTAAACTAATTCTTCTTGCTTGACATTGCAAAACTCAGTTTGCTAATGCTTCATCTAATTGCAGTTGGAGTACTGTATGGTGGCGTTTAATTCTAAGGTTCTTTTCATCATCAATCTTAAGATACTCTTTCTGTTTTGCAAGAATTTGTGAAAAAGTTGCTTGGTTGAGAACATTTTCAAGACCAAAATTTTCTTTGGCCCATTTTGCAAGCTTTCTTTGTGTAATAGTTGAATCATTTTGTTTTTTTAAGCAAATTTTTTTTGTGCTGGTCATTTGTTAGACTAATTTTTTTTGAAGACATGAAATAAATTTTTATTTTTATTTTTTTTTAAAAAAAAAAAAATGTATAGTATCTTGATATTATGATTGTAAGGCGCTATATAATATATTATAAAATTCTATTTTTATATAAACATGAACCAGGATTTTCTTGAATTAATTCTTTGTAGAATTCATCACTACCCTTCAGAAAATATATTGGTCTGTTCAATTTACATTAATTGTTATTTATAAATTTTTGATATACTTTATTTGATTTTTAACTAATCAGTTTGTACTTTTTCATATGTGTCCCTCTTGAATAGACGATTCTATCTTTTAATTTTTTTTTAATTTTTTTTTTTTTTTAATTGTTTTATTACTGTATTTATTTATTTATTTATTTTCTTTGCAAGCCATTTTTTATACCACTTTAACATACAACAAGTTTTCTCTGTTTCTTAATTTAAATATTCAGCGAAAAAAATATGAAGTTGTAATTTCACTTTACACTTTACTAACATCACGTCTAATACTTTTAAATTATTGTTATGAGCGACGAGGTATTTATTTTAATTATTATGACTTATGCATGAATGTACTGATTCTGATTCTATTTTATATGAATTTAATATTAACTACGTATCATTAACTATCATTAACTATCATTTACTATTACGTATAATGTTAACATTAATGTCATTTTATCGCGCCCTGATTTCTGTAGTGTAATGCTAAAATAGAGAAGTGATTGTGTGCTTAAATTAGCTTTTTCATGCATAATTGCTACTACTTAACTAATTATGTTATTTGATTGTTATTTCATTACACGATCAATAACTAATTATGTTATTTGATTGTTATCCCGTTACACAATCAATTAAATTTAACATTTGAGTGTGTTATCAGAGAATTTTAAATACACACGATGCAGCACCTATCGATACTCTAACTAAATATAGTACTATTGTACATCTGTAGTTATACAGTATATACTTATCTTTGTTATAAAACAAAGATAATAAGTGCAGTATATTAGGTCGCATTTGATTGGCTGATTGTTAGGTTACACAAACTTTACTACTGTCTTAATGCATATACTGTCTAAATGCATAAAAACTCATCTAACGGATAGTATGCATTTAGACAGTATCGACTGTATATTGGGGACCCCCACAGCAAAAGGCCATTTTAAATTTCGGTCTTTAAATGAGTATATCTTGAAATCTAGTGATTAGAATTAAATAATTTTTAAATCATTCAATTCACCTCAATGAGATGAATTAAATGATTTAAAAATAATTTAATTCTAATCACTAGATCTCAAGATATACTCATTTAAAGACCGAAATTTAAAATGGCCCAATTCCCCTTTTACTGTGGGGTTCCCATATATTAAAATAAGTATGATAAAATGTAGGGATTAGAACCGCCTAGAATTTCTTTAATCGTTTAACCGTTTAATCGTATTAACCGTTTAACTCGACTGGCATTAAGATAACCTTGGCCCATTATCAACATAATTCGGCCCGAAATTATGGAACAATTTTTATGCAGTTAAACGGTTCCAATCCCTAATAAAATTATTCTCACCTGCTATATTTGAAAATGCAATATACATGGATTGAGCAATTGCACGTTTATCATGAGGTTTAGAAAATATACTGGAAACCCAAGCTAATTGAATTGGTACAATTGTTGTTACACCTAATAAAATAAATATAAAAGTATAAATCTATAGTATTCATTAAATCTTTTTTTTATAAAAAGCAACACTTCTAATTCAATTAATGTTTACCAGCAGTGCAAAAAAAAGTAGAAGCATATAATAAACTTTTGTTTTCTATTGTTGCCAACCCCAAAAAACCAATTAAAGCTAAACATCCTCCAAAAATAAAATGAAAACTTCTTTCTTTAACTTTATCAGAATGTAATGCGGTAGCTAACGCAACGAACCATCCAACAAAATATGGAGGAGCCGTCATTAATTGACTTTGTAATAAATCATGGCCCATAGAATTAATTACAGTTGGTAAATATAATGAAATAGAGTATAAGGCAGTTGCGATGCATATGCCAACTACCATCGTAATATAAATTTTCCAATCTTTCACAGCCAAATACAGACTGTAATAGGTGAATTCGTTGTGATGTTTAGGATCATGGAGTGTACCGTCGTCTTTGCGAAGACAGGATACCCAATAATCTTTTTCTTGGGCATTTAGGAATGAGGGATTTTCAGGGAAGTTTGGAAGAATAAAACTAAAAAAAAAAAAAAAGAATAGTTTTAATATATTATTGATATAATAAAGTGGATTAAAAGGAGAAGTTGAATATATATTACAAGGAAATCAATGAAATAACAAATGTAGCAAGTCCTTCTAGCAGGAACAACCATCGCCATCCTTCTAAATTTACTTTTCCATCCATATTTCCCACGATAAAATAAGCAAGAAGTCCACTATTATAATTCATTTAGATATCATAAACGCAATCAATTTGTAGTAATTAACATAAAGAGCGAATAAAAATCAATAATTTTCGATAAAGTATTTTTTTACCCAAAAACTCCAGCTAAAGCACTTCCAGAAAAGAATATGGTAAATCTTGCAGCAAGTTGTGATTGCCTATACCACATACTCAATAGAAAAAATGCACCAGGTGAAAATCCTATTTAAAAAAATAAAAATACTTAGAGGGTGAATGTAAATTTTTAGTATAGTACTATATTATCATAGTTATCGACATTATTACCTGCTTCAGCGACACCTAGTAAAATTCTTGTAGTGATCAATTCACCAAAATTATTTACAGCAGCCATACAACAGATAACTGCGAACCATAAAATCATAAGAAAAGGTATCCATTTTGATGGTGTAAATTTCTTATCACCTATTTTAATAATCGACAATATAGTAAAATTGTTATTTCGTTAATTGCGCGTTATAACTTACAATTCTGATATCAACCACACATATACCATATTTGAAGGGATTTCCAATAGGACATAACCAATACAGAATACAGCAAGGGAGATTTGGAATTGGTTTTCATACAATCCTTTTAATAAGATATATAAAATGAAAAGTATTATAAGCAATGTTTATGAATATAATCCATAAAAAGATTACCTAAATTCTTTTCTAGTCCTGCCAATCTTGCATTTCCTATGTCCGATAATACAAAAAAAAATAAAATAAAATAAAATTCACGTTTTAAGCATTCAATAAACATCTTACACTTTAGTGCATGATACGTAACCTCGAATTTAGAAAATCATACCAATGTTAGTTCTATCCAAAAATGAAAAAATATTCATAACAAGTAATGTCGTAACTAATCTACTATCGATTTTTCTTATCAATTTTTTTCATCGATCGTTTGTAATACTGGTTGTAATGATGATGTTCGAGGGAAAGCATCTTTAATATTTGGATCTATAAAAGTTTTATCACGAATAGTTTCTTCAATTGTTGATGTACTATCAACCTTTGGTATTTGCGTTCGAGAAACATTCATTCTTTCGAAACAAATTATATGATTATATCGTTAAATTTGTGAAATTTTGTTTTTTTTTACTCTAAATTAGGTTGTTAATATCATATGGGTCAGTCCGTACCGTTATGAGTATTCGGGCACTTTTGATCAAACTTTAATAATTAATTGGATTATATTCTTGAGCTGATGCTCTACCTTTAGTGCAAGTTTTGTTCCATAATATCATATAACGATTTATTACAATTCCCGTTCAAAAGATATTTAATATCGTAAT